GGGGGGGCGTTCCTCCCAACCACACCTCTCCAGGTCTCACTGTCATTACCCACATGAGCGCTGAAGTCCCCTAGCAGAACGAGGAAGTCCACGTTAGGAGCGCTCTCCAGCACCCCCTCCAAGGACTCCAAAAAGTGTGGGTAATCTGAACTGTTGTTAGGCACATAGGCACAAACAACAGTCAGGACCCGTCCCCCCACCCATAGGTGGAAGGAGGCTACCCTCTCACTCACCAGGGTAAACCCCAAAGTACAGGCACCGAGATGGGGGGCAATAAGTATGCCCACTCYTGCTCGGCGCCTCTCAGTATGGGCAACTCGAGTGGAAGGGTGTCCAACCCCTCTCGAGGAGACTGGTTCCAGAGCCAGAGCGGTGTGTCGAGGTGAGTCCAACTCTATCTAGTTGGAACCTCTCAACCTCACACACCAGCTCAGACTCCTTCCCCACCAGAGAGGTGACATTCCACATCCCTAGAGCCAGCTTTTGTAGCCGAGGATCGGACCGCCAAGGTCCTCGCCTTTGACCACTGCKCAGCACACATTGCACCCAACCCCTAKGGCCCCTCCCACAGATGGTGAGCCCATGGGAAGGGGGACCCACGCCTCCTCTTCAGGTTGTACCTGACCAGGCTCCATGGGCAAAAGCCCGGCCGCCAGGTGCTTGCCAATGTGTCCCAACTCCAGGCCTGGCTCCAGAGTGGGGCCCCGGTGACCCGTGTCCGGGCAAGGAAACACTGAATCCATTTATTGTGTTCATCATAGGGGTCTTRGGGCTGCACTCTGTCTGATCCCTCATCTAGGACTTGTTTGCCTTGGGTGACCCTACTGGGGGCATGAAGCCCCCGACAYCATAGCTCCTAGGATCATTGGGACACTCAAACTTCTCTAATACGATAAGGTGGAAGCCCAAGGGTCAAAATGCTGCGGTTAGTTTTGAAGAGAAGTTCATCTTCAACTCACCAAAAAAATCTCAGTGTCCACAAACATTTACATAATTCTGATAATGCAGATAGGAAGACAACAAGTTATTGCATTTTATTTTCAGGTGATCCATCATATAAATAGTGACACTTTTGGCTTGGCTGCTGATGAAAAATGTCCCAGCAGCTCAGAGGACTCATCATGACAGATAATTTAATGTCGTATAACCACTYAGCGACGAACTGAATTACGTTGGCACAGTGAAGCTGGGCCTCCAGGGCAGCTAACAAGCTCTGGCATGTGCTGTGTCTCTTCATGTATTAATGTCCAAAAAGCGTGTTTATGTGTTGGACACCATGGGGCCATGTGTGTGTGCATTCATGAGCAGTGACGCTCGTCTGTGAGTCAGACTAATCCTATTAGATCTCTCACTCTTCCACCTCTATATTTACATCCATCTCTCTCTCTCTCTCTCTCTCTCTCTCTCTCTCTCTCTCTCTCTCTCTCTCTCTCTCTCTCTCTCAGAGGC